TCAGGCCCACATCACGGTCCCTCACGCATCGACGCAAGGCAACGCGAGGCCTTGGCTCATTACAAAGCCTCTTTATCCAATCGACGAGTCGGCCGGGCTGTCTCCCTCGCACGCTCGGCGCCCGCGGGGAGTGCGAGGGAGAGAGAGACAGTGGCCTTGTTAATGGAGCGGGCTGCTCCCTTGTGGGAAAATCTTGAGCGTCTATCGGCAGGGACACAGCTACACTGCAAACAACACTCGAAAAGTCTCATGGTGAAGATTCTTCGCATGGTGGTGCAGCTATGACTCTGTAACTTATCTTCAAAATACGTAGGTATTTTGTTGAATAATTATGGGAAAAAAATCTTCATAAGTAGGTGAAGCCGTTCACTATATGAGATATTCAGAGTGAAGAAAGGGCCCCTTACTGCTCACCAGAGGCCACATTTCTCTTCGATCATGGGCTGCTTGAAAGATTGCCCAGACCCGCGCCGAATTTTTTTCTGACTCGCCGAGAGTGATTTCCGGCGGGCAGCGCGGCGTCACGTGACCGGTGTGTGTACACTGTACAGCGCGATGATGTCGCCGAGGGTCACGGTGCCTCCAGGTGCCTCCACGCCCAGCCACGCCTCACGGCGCTCATTCAGCCACTTCCCTTTTTCTTCGGCGAACTCGGCCCAACTTTCTGAGAAGGAAGTCGGCCTTGCGCTCATCCTCCGTTTCCTTGCGAGCAATTTAACATCGGCGCCTGTCGATCTCTCCTCTCTCTCTCTCTCTCTCTCTCTCTCTCTCTCTCCGTGCGCCTCTTTCGCCTCTTTCATCGAATCATTCATTCATTCTCCGACCATCCTGCTCCACTATGCCCAGCCAATCGGCCTCGGGGGGCTCCGCGTAGCTCTGCGCTGCCGGCTCTGTTTCTGTCCGACCGTCTGACATGAAAGGAGCTGTTTGGATTCGCTCACCTGCAGACTGATTCCGAGAGGCGTTTTCGTCGCTCTGTCTCTCTCGCACTCATGGCGCGTCCCGTCTGGGTGCGAGGGAGACAGAGCGACGAGAACGACTCTCGGAATCAGTCTGCGGGGCTGCGTGCGAGAGTGCGCGTCCCTCCCCTCGCCCTGGCGGCCTGTGCTGCACAGTGTGCTGCCGGGGTGCTGCGGGGGTCGGCGCTACCCGGAGGCAGCCGCCCGGGCCGCCGGACCCAGAGCCGCACTATCTGGTGCAGATCATCTTGCCCTGATCCTTGATCCACCCCTCGGCCTTCGCCTCGGCCTGCGCCACGGCCTGCGCCGCCTGCCGGCCTCGGTGCGAGCCTCGGTGGTGTCAGGTAGTGGAGTCTGCTGACTCCCAGTCCGTCGCCCGGTGCCGCCCGGTGCCGCCCGGCCCGACCAATTTTGGAGCCATCGATACGGGGCGCTGCGGGCGCCGCTTGTTGTGACTCGACGGTAACCCTAGACCGGACGACTTCGCCACCCAAATTCGGGTTCGGCAGGCGCGTCAAGGGAGTGAACAAAAAATGCAGCAACGGCAAAAAAAAATTACAGCAACACCAAAAAAAAAGTTACAGGAACGTCAACAAATTTACAGTAACAACGACAAAAATTACAGCAACAACAGAAAAATTGCAGCGACTACAGAAAAATTATAGCAGCAACGGAAAAATTACTGTCATAGCATAAGAATTACTGCGACAACACAAAAATTACTGCAACAACAACAACAAAAATTACTGCAACAACAACAACAATTACAGCAACAGCAAAAATTACAGCAACAACAATCAAAATTACAGCAACAACAATCAAAATTACATCAACAACAAAAAAACACGGCTGGAGCTAATAAATGGCGAAATAAAAAACGCACACTAAAATTTAGTTGCCTGTTAGTGTCCTGCCCTGTAACCAATGCTTGTTTCAATTAGGTTTCAATTTTCTTGGATTTTTTTTTGTCGGGTAAGATTGATGGTAAAACGCTTGGGCGCGCTGCTCCGCCCGGCTCCGCCATGCCGCCCATCCCATCTCCCAACCGGATACACAGTGTCCAATCCACACAATGAGCGGCCAGCCAGCACAGCGCGGCACAGCGCAGCACAGCGAAGCACAGCCTCCCCCCGACTTGCCTCCCTCTCGTAATACATACTTAATTGAACAACTGCTGAGCACCCGCAGCCGCACGGCCTGGCAGGCGAGCCTCGCGGGCTGTCTGCGCCGAGCCGGGCGCAGCCAGTGCCGAGCCGAGGGCCACTTTTCAACGGGAGAAAGGCGGCCTGTGCTTTCGTCGCCCTGTCCCCCTCGCACTCGTGGGGGCGTCCCGGGCAGGTGCGAGAGAGACGGCAGTGAGCGGGTTGAGAGGGGCACACGTTTTTCGACCCCGTGGAGAAAAAAAGAGGGAAAGATCGGGGCGAACAGAACAAACAGGCTGATTGAGAGACTAGGCTGGCGTCCGACGTTTTCACCGTCGTTCAAGTGCCCCGCTGGGCAGGCACCTCCGCCGCACTGAAACACTCCGGGCGGCGTCTACTAATTGAAGGCGACGTAGGCTGATTGGGCGAGGCTGGGCTCACCTGCGCCGCATCCCACAAGCTGTCAGCTAACTCGATCGTCACCCGGCTCATACACAGCTTATTACCTCGCTCCGTCTCTCTCGCACCCAGTGGGACGACCCAGGGTGTGCGAGAGAGGCAGAGCGACTACTGTCATTCGGAATCAGCCAGCTGAGCATCCCCGCCGCGCGGAACGCACTACGGATCAGGCGGGATCATAAAAAAGGACAACACACATACACGACTTAATACGTCTTGTTCATTATTCCAGTTGTGTCTATCCGTGGGGCTCGGCCTGGCTGGCCTGGCTGGCCTGGATGGGCAGCTCGCCGCCCCGCACCCTCGGCCTCCCTCCTCCCCCTCCCCCTCCTACAGTGCAGGGCGTGCTCCGCGCTCCCCCACGCAACGCATTGTCCAACCAAAGGTTCGCTAAACGGCTTATGCCGTTGTTTTCGCCGACCCCGTCGGGCTCTAATCCGGCAGACTGAATGGAAAGGCCGCAAGTGCCGCCCGGACGCCGCCAGATACGGCCTTCTTGCCCTCGCGCCCCCAGGTCTGCTTCTCTGCTTCACACATCGCAGCGTCACAGCGTCACAGCACCGGGAACAAGGTCAGGGGCTCGCTTTCGGCGCGGAGTGTACTAGTTTGCACCTCACTTTCGGCGCGGAGTGCACTAGGTTTGGGCCTGGCTTTCGCGGCGCGGAGTGTGCTAGTTCTGGCCTCGCTTTCGGCGCTGAGTGTACAAGTTCGGACCGCACTTTCGGCGCGGAGTGTACTAAGTTTGAGCCTCGTTTTCGGCGAGGACTGTCCTATTGTCGTTAGGGTCTCGCTTTCGGCGCGGAGTGTACTAGTTTGTATCCAACAAGCCTGCCGTGGACCGGATTTCGCTTTCGACTGCTCCGGTTGGCCGCTTTCCGTTTTCGTGTGTCTTTTCATGCAACTTTCCACGTTGCTTACTCGCAACAGCGACCAGGCTGGCAAATGGGATGCCTGTCGTGAAATTTCAGCCGTCATTCGGTTTCGAAGAGCGATAGCCACGGCCTTGCTACTTAGCGTGGGCGGCCTCAACGTAAAATGCAATGCGTTTGTGGGATGAATAGTACTCAGGTTCAGGAAACAAAAGAAGGAATTCCGCGATTTCATTGATTGTTTGATTCTACTGTATTATCAAATAAAATGTAATCAATGTGTACAGTATATAGATCCTCCTCAACACTGTTAACAATAACGAATTAAACGTACCTCATGCATACAATCACAGATCATTCACTTCGACAACTAAAGCTGCAGCACTGCCAGCGCCAGCGCGACCTACCGACTAGTAGTACACTGCGGACTACAGTGTGCACTCATGTGAGAACACACTTCAATGCACAGTGCACCCAGTGGTCGCTGGCCGCGCTGGTTCCGGCCGTGCTCGAATCCCACATCACAAGAAGAAAAATGAAGCCGCCGGAAAATAAGTAACAAATTTTGTGTTTTGGCTGGCGGAAATGCTGTTATTTACATCATCTACTATTAAAAATAACGTTTCGATCGTTCGACCAGTGAGGGCTCCATTGTCTTTTACAAACTGGGGATAATTTGTTAGATTATAGTCTAATCGTCATTAAAATATTTTTCTAAAAACAAATATTGCACGCTTATTGGGCATAAAATCTAAAATAACTTTAACTGGTACGTAGTCACAACTCTACTGACTTAGTTTCACTATTTTTTCTGCTCTTTAAGTCAGAATCTTTGATTAAAATAACGCTGTCTCTATAGAGCATCAAAGATTTCAAAACTGAAACTGAAACAAATACATGGCAAACTAGTTTACTTTGACATCGCAGTTTGAACAGCAGAAAGAGAGAGAAGACTTGCTGACAAGGCAGTTCGCATAACACTTTTCCCGAAACCACTCCCGTCGAGCTAACTTATCCACTAAAAATCACAGAAACAGCTATTCGCTCCCCTGCCTTGGACAGCCGAGGCGGGGTGCGTTGACTGGGACACTGGGACCCACACGGCCCGTATTGCCCAGTTGTAATAATACTGCCAAGAGTCCCCGGACGGGAACCGAGGGCTTGTACGGTAATATCACACAAATTAAGTAACGCGCGCTTTCAGGTAGAATTGTTTTGGTAACAAACTTGCAGACAGACTGCGTTGGCATGCACCCCGTGGCACTTGGTGATGGCGGCGCGGAGCGCGGTGCAGCAGGCGACCCTCGTCCCGCCGCGGGGACGCGACGCGACGCGGGGCGGCGACTACAATGGCGGATGACTGCAACGTCGCGACGGCCGCGGCGCGGTTCACGGCGACGGCGTGTCGACGTACGGCCGGCGCGGCGGGGCGGCGTCGGGGTGCGGGTTGCCGCGGCCGGAGGGGCCAGAGCTCGCCCCGGAGCCGCCGGGACGCGACGACAGCATCGCCGCGGCGGCCGCGGCCACGGCGGCGTTGTCGGCTTGCAGGCCAGCCAGCAGTCCGGCGTGGTACTGGGGTCACAACATCTTGGACACGGACAGGTAGGCGCTGGGCGTGGACGGGCAGCCCGGCAGTAGGAAGGGCGCGAGCAGCGCGTGGCGGTGGTGGTGCGCGACGTCGCCGGGGACGCCGTCGGGGTGCTCGGGGTGGCCGTACATGAGGCGGCGCACGGGGTTGCCGCCGTGGCCGTGGCCGTGGCCGTGGCCGGGCGGCGGGCACGTCGACATGTCCAGGAGGTGGCCGTCCATGCGCGCGTCCATGCGCGCGTCCAGCGGCCCGCCCGTCTCGTGCAGCTTGCGCATGTGCTTCTTCAGGTCGAAGTTGCGGCAGAAGCCCTTACCGCACACATCGCACGTGAAGGGCTTCTTGTCCTCGTGCGTGTGCATGTGGAAGGTGAGGTTGTACACCTGGTGGAACGCCTTGTTGCAGACGGCGCACTTGAAGGCCTTCTCGCCGCTGTGCGTCAACTTGTGGTTCTTGTAGTTGCCCTTCTGGTGGAACTTCTTGCCGCAGATCTCGCACTCGAAGGGCTTGTCGCCGCGGTGTATCCGCAGGTGCGTGTTGAGCGTGGAGCTGCGGTTGAAGCACTTGCCGCACACGTCGCAGCGGTGCGGCTTCTCGGCGGTGTGGATGATCTTGTGGCGGCACAGCGTGGACGCCTGGCGGAAGCCCTTGCCGCACGTCTTGCAGACGAAGGGGCGCGCGCCCGTGTGCACGGGCATGTGGCGCGTCAGGTTGTAGTGCGCGTTGAACACCTTGCCGCACTCCTTGCACGTGAAGCTCTTGAGCTTGCCGCCGGCCGCGCCGCCAGGGGTGCCTCCCGACGGCGGCGAGGGCGGCGAGTGGTGCGAGGACGGCGGCGGGCTGCCGGACGACGCGGGCCCCGAGCCCCCGACGCCGAGCCCCAGCGGCCCGGCCATGAGGCCGTGGTGGGCGTGGTGCTGGGACGCCATCAGCGGCAGCGGGCTGCTCGACGAGTCCCTGCTCTCCGGCGAGGCCGGCGGCGGCTCCCTCTGGTGGCGCACGGCCCGCGACCCCAGCGGGCCCGGGTAGTAGTACAGCAGCGGGTACTGGCTCAGCAGGTCCAGGTCGTGCGCGCGGAACGCCGGCACGTACTTCTTGAAGGCGGAGTCCATCGGCGACGCCGCGTACGACAGCACGCCGCCCAGGGCGTCGGCGGCCCTCACGGGGGACGCGGCGGGCTCGCGGCGCCGGTCCGGCTCCATGATCTTGGCGATGGAGAAGGTGAGCGGCCGCGACGTGGACGTGGGCGTCGACGTGGGCGGCGGGCTGTGGCTGCTGCTGCGACTGCTCATGCTCGTCCTGCTGCTGGCGCTGCTCGGCACCAGGAGCCTCGTCGCCGTGTCCGGGCTGGCCGCCGGGCTGGCGGCGGGGCTGGCCGCCGCGGGGCTGGCCGGCATCTCGGGGGGCATCATGTTGGGCTGGAACGGCTGCATGCCGTCGTCCCCGACGTGCCCGACGGGCGTGGGGCTCGAGCTGGGACTGGGCCTGGAGGGCACGCCACGAGAATGTTTAGCCCCGAGTTCAATGTGAGTTCAACGCCCACAATGTCACACATTGGCACGCATAGTTCGCGCGGCGGACGTCAAAAATTAACGACAAAGTAAACGACACATTTTGTGCGCGCGTGCAAACAATAAACAAGCACTGACATTGCCTGTGGTCGAAGTGACAATCGCGACACGCGGATCAAACTCACATTTGAGAAAATGGCGGGCGGCACACTGGTCACTGTACTCACGTTTGCGAGCTGAAGACGGCTCCTGCTTCCGCGCAAATCAGCAAGCGCCGAGGGTCCAACAGGGAGGCATTCCCACACATGGGCGCGGAGACACTGCACTGCACTGCACTGCACTGGGACACGGGGCGGACGCACTACACGGGCTGGACGGGCTGCGCGGTCGCTGGCGGACGCAGCGCGGAGTGGAGCGCTGCCGGCGGACGGTGCGCGCGGTGCGAGCGGCTCGACAAATCTGTTGGAAATAAATCAGCCCGGAGTGTAAACACGATATCACCCCTCGGTGTACATACAATATAAAATAATCCCCTGCTCCGGCGACCCCCACCACCGAGCTGGCCCGCGCCGCACTGCGCCGCACCCCTCCCCGCCCTGCCGCTGCCCCGCTGCCGCTTGCCGCCGGGCCCGACTAACCTCAAAACGCCGCCCTCCCCCCTCCGCGACGCTGGTCGCGATGCTCGCTACGCGCCGCTACGCGGTGCCGCGGCCGTGGTGGGGGAAGGCGTCGGCAGCGTCGGCAGGCCGTCGCCGGGAGGGGACTCTGGGAGGGGGAGGCCACCGTGCGTGGGCCGCCGTGGCCCCGCCCAGCCAGCCCCAACCAGCCCCAGCCGGAGGGGACCACTCACAGCCGAGCCTTCTGGCCGCCCCCTACCCCACGGGGCCGCCGGGGCCTCTGGGGCCGCTGGGGCCCAGCCGGCAAGCAGCGCGCAGCCCGGCGCGGCCATGCCTCTGCCCCAGCGGGGCACCCGAGAGCCCCGGAGGGGCCCCCGTCGACCCGCTCTGCCTTACCGTGGCTGCCGCCCTAGCCTGCCCAGGGCCGCGTCCGCGCCGCCGCGCCCCCTCTCTCCATCTCTCTCTTCCTCCCGCTCGCGCCCGCAGCGGCGTCGGGTGCGAGAGAGATGGACACGGCGGCGGCCAGAACGGGGTCGCCTCGCCGCTTCGACGGCGCGGTGTGGCGCGGCCCGGCGCGGCCTGGCTCGGCGTGTTTGCCGACCATCAAGGAGGAGGAGGTGCTGGCCGTGCTGGTGTTGGCTCAGCTGCTCAGCTCGGCCCCCCTCCCTGACGGCCAGGCCCGGGCGAGCCCCCCCGCGGAGAACGGGGCCGTGGGGCCTTAGCCTGGGCCCTTGTGCAGCGGCAGCGCGGGGCCGCGTGCGGGGCGGCGCGCTCGGGGAGTCTGAGTCCGCCAGGCTGGGCAGGGCCCTGCAGGGGGCTGCCTCCGAAACAGGCTCGCTGCTCACATAAAGCTGCTGCTCCACTTTTAGCTCCGTTGCTCCGCTGCTCCGCGGCGTCGCGACGCATCCCGCTGCCTGCTGTTCATTTGCCGCATTCCAGTTCGGCAGCTGGCCGTCCTGGCCGAGGCCGTGCTCGTGCTGTTGGCGGTACACTCTCGTCGAAAACACGCGGCCCTCATTACTACCGCGGGCTGCAAAGCTGCAAAGCAGTCCCGCGATCGGCGGCGAAAAGAATGCGGGGCCCGCTGCGCCGCGCCGCGCTGCCGCTCGCCAAAAGCGCGGCGAGCCTCCGCCCCGCTGGGCATACAGTGTGCCGGGCATGCTCCGTCTCTCTCGCACGCAAGAGGCGTCCCGCAGGGCCGCGGGGGAGCGAGAGAGACAGCGCGACAAAGCACCGTTCGGAATCACGCATCGCCCCGCCCCGCGGTTCTTTCCATGCAATTTACGCGCGCCGCGTCCTCGGCTTCGCCTGCTTCGCCTGCTTCTGCTTCGCCCCCCGCACCACGATGCCCGTCGGGTTTTGTAGTGTGTCGCCGCCCCGCCGGCCGTGGCGGCCGTCCCCGCCGGGCTGCCTTTTTCGACGACGGCGACGTCCCGACGGCGTCCCGCGCGCCGCCGCCGAGCCTCGCAACCCCTTCCGGTCCGCCGCGCGTCCGGAAGCAGGGCGGTCTTGTCGGCGAGGCGAGCCGGATGCTAACGGTGTTGTGCCGCGCGCGCGTGCGGCGTGCCTGTGTGCACTACACTGTGTGTGCTGTTCGCTGTTCACGCGGGAAAAGGGAAGCAATGCGTTTGATTGCGCTTCTCTTCGAGCGCACCGCACCGCGTTTTGAGCTCCGGAGTTGCTAAATGGGACTCGAACCGAACGTGTGACCCCACCAATGGATTGCCCTCCGTACGAGGAATCGATTGGTGGGGTCACACGTTAAGTTCAAGTCCCATTTAGCGGACTCTGGAGCTCAAACGCGTCTAGAGTTTTGGCCGCCTGCGCTGGTCCCCTGGCACGGTTTAGTACCTGACGAAACGTTCGCTGGCGCTGCGCTTTGATTTCGTTTTTCCAGAAAGTCTGCGCAGAAAAGGTGGCGGATATTGCTTAATCGATTAATCGGTGCGCTGCCTTTGGCTCGGCAAGCTGTTGCTTCCAGGAAAACGGCGACGCAAGGCAGCGTCTTATACCTTTTTTGCGACCATGATTCCCGGGAGCGGAGCACGGCTATAGTGGCGTGTACCGCCACCAGCAAAGAGGATGAGCCTGAATGGGAGTGGAGCCCCACTGGAGGCCCACTGGAGGGGCCGATGGCCGAGGGTGCTCGTGATTTGGTGATTTCGTTTGTTGGAGTTTTTAGGCAAGGCGCTTTGCTCCTAAACGAGAAGGAGAACGAGGCGGGCCAGGCGTCCGACTTTTGTTGGCCCGCGAGACGTCATCAACCTCTTGAGTCTCCCCGGACCCGAAAAGCGATTGCTTTTCCATCCTTTTCTTCGTCCTTTTCCTTGTTTTTTTGCGCGCCGCGCGCCAAGTCGTCGCCGTCCTCATCGACTTTGGATCGGAGCAAATGAACATCGCGCGGAGCCGGGGAGCACTCACTATTCAGATCGCGGCCCGCCGCACAGTGGGCCAGAAGACCGGTGGAGGCGGCCAAAACTCTAGACGCGTTTTGAGCTCCCGAGTCGCTAAATGGTACTCGAACCGAACGTGTGACCCCACCAATGGGATTCCTCGGTCGGAGCCCATTGGTGGGGTGGGGTCACACGTTTGGTTCGAGTCCCATTTAGCGACTCTGGAGCTCAAAACGCGTTCGGGATTTTGATCGCCTCCACCGGCCTTCACACAGACACACCGACGCACGCACACCGACGCATGCTCACACTCCGCGGCACCCCCCCCCCCCCCTCCGCGACGACGCGACGACGCGATGACCGTCAGGCCGACGCTGCCGACGCCAATGAGCTCCCTGCACATTTAGTCGCGGTCGCTCCCCCTTCCCCGCGTGGAGCCCATCCAGACCGTCTCTCTCTCTCTCTCTTTCTCTCTCTCTGACCCTCGCCGCCGTGCTGCCGCCACCATGGCGGAGTAATAGTGTATCTTTTCGCGGGTTGGCCGAACACCACTACACGATTCTTCGCCTCACCCCCTCTGCCCACCCCACCCTCATGCCCTCTGCTGGAAATTGAAAACTTTTCTTTCTCTCTTTTTTTTTGCAGTTGACGCTCGCGGTGCTGGCCGCGCTTCGCGGGGTGGCATATGTGCAGCAGGCATCACTTACCCGCAACACTTACCCGCCGGCAGCGCTGCCGGAGCAGGCTGATTCCGAGAGTCACTGCGTCTCTCTCGCACTCATGGGGCGTCCCGTGTAGGTGCGAGAGAGACAGAGCGACGAAAACGACTCTCGGAATCAGTGTGCTGGCGGCATTGTGGCGACCGCATTGCGCATTGTGCGCCACGCCCGGCCTGCCCCGGCCTGCCCCGGCCACGCTGCAGGCGACGTCGTTGCGCCAACCGGGGACCCGTGAACCTGCCCGCGGGCGGAGGCTGCGGTGCGTGTGTGTGTGTGTGTGGTGTGGAGAGAGAGAGAGAGAGAGAGAGAGAGAGAGAGAGAGAGAGAGAGAGAGAGAGAGAGAGAGAGAGACTCGTGAGTTTGTAACAAACCGTTTGTTTAGAGGGCAGGTGGGGAAATGTACCCCAAAAATTTTGTATTTTGCTGTGCAGTGCAATCCTACTGAATCCTGAAAGCGCACGAAGATTTTCCTCTGCGAATGTAAAACTTTTCACTAAGCAGCGATTTCCATTGCACATAATTTGGTGGCGTGCTGGCTGCTGCTGCTGGTTGCACGGGCGAGGCGTCAAGCATTTAGCGCGACGCGGGCGGGGCGGGGCGGGGCGGGGCCGGGTGTCCGGGACATCGCCGCAAAAGGGATTTCGCCTCCACCCCAGGACGCCACTTGAGAGTTAGAGGTGGCGGGGCGGGGCGGGGCGGCCGCAGCATCACAACGGCAGCCGCCGCGCCACGCCCTGCCTCACTGCCTCGTCGACTTGTGTACAGTACACTAAAATAATGAGGCCAGACATGACACCCCGCAGGCCAGGGCGGCCCCGCCCCGCCCCGCACTAGCCCGCCGCGCCCGGCCAGCCCTCTCCAGCCCCCATCAGCGTGATGACACGGAACTTGGACGGAGATAGGAGATAGGAATCTGCTGCAGAGGCGAGAGGACTATCCAATCGAAGCTGAACGTGTCAACGTGTCGCCAGCTCATCTCGCTGAAGTGCCCCAGCCAGCCCACCCCTGCAGCCCCTGCAGCCCGCCATCCGCTACGCCCGGCCACGCCGCCACACGGCGGGGTGCTGGCTGAAGAGCATCTGTCTGTCCGGCCGTCCACCCGTTCACCCGTCTGTCTGTCTGTCTGTCTGTCTGTCTGTCTGTCTGTCTGTCTGTCTGTCTGTCTGTCTGTCTGTCTGTCTGTCTGTCTGTCTGTCTGTCTGTCTGTCTGTCTGTCTGTCGCTGTCCGCGATCCTGCCGCGGCGCTTTTGTTTCAAACCGCTGCGCTGCTGCTGCCTTGCCCGCCTCGGCTGCCTTGTGGATGGCGCGTTTGTGTTTGTCTGCTCATTATTCTGGAGGGCCGTGGAGAGAGAGACGCCGGGGACAACGAGACGTCCTCGCTGTCCTCGCCGTGCTCGCCGTCCTCGCCGTCCTCGCCGTCCTCGTCCGTCCTCGCCGTCCTCGCCGTGCTCGCCGTCCTCCGTCCTCCTCGCCGTCCTCGTTGCTGCTGTTATGACGTCAAAGAGGGGCAGCACCGCCACCACCGCAAAACGGCCACCCCGATCTAGCAGACAAAATATTTCGAGTTTCAGCGAAAAATTAAATGCATCCAGGCATTCAATTTTTGGCGGAAAATTTGTACACTGAATTTTTGAAACGAAAAAAGTTGAGCAACTGATTTGGTGGGACACTGCCTTGACTTCCGTGGACCACCAGCGGCACGGGATGCAGGCACTCGTGACGCG